TTGAACATGGCCCAAGATGGGGAGACGCACTGGGAGTTCCCCCACTTTCCACATTTCGCCCCACACCACCCCCCCTGCTCCCACCCTCATTGGGGCACCAGACGCGAGGCACTCGAGCGCGGCGCACAAAGAAAGCTGTGAAATGGTCGCCATTGACTGCATTCACCTTCTCGTGGCTGCAACACAGCCGCAGACCAGCAGACCGTCTTTGGCCAGGCATTTTTTCATGTCTTGGCTCGCCAACTTGGCCAACTTGTCTATTAACGGTAACTAGGTAAATGTTAGAAATTACCGTTAGAAAAATTGCCTCTGCCATTGCTATTTGCACACAAAGTAAGCCATTTGTTAAGTCGAAGCAGGAAAAATCAAGAAAAAACAACGACCACAACGACGACGACGACGCAGAAGTAGAAGAGGAATCACCAGGTTGATGAAAAAGAGCTAGGGGGGTGCAGGGTGGAGGAACTCACTCAATTGCTTTGTCTTCGGGGCTTCTGTGAATGGGAAAGTGTTGACTTGCTGGGGCTTGGCCCAGGGCTTGCCCTGAAATATTTATCACTTCCACTAACTCCACAGATCCGCAGGGAGGCAACAAAAAAATGTAAATTTACCTGGCAAGAGTCTTCCATGTGGGAAAGCGAACATGGAAAATGCTCATTAGGTGGTAAATAGCCAAAGCCATGATGATCGAAGAGGGGTTTCCTTAATTTTCGACTCAAAGTAGGAATTCTTTTGGGTTGAAGCATTGTATTCCCTTTTAATCGGAATCCAAGGCGCAATGGTATATGGGAAATTATACAAGAAATATTATTATAATTTTTAGAATTTTTCAGAATTTTCTGCTTAATATTTACACCTTTTCCAATTGTTTTTGTGTTCAAATGTTTCCAAAAAACCTTTTAAATATCCAAGAAATCTGTGTATTAAATCCTAGTGCTCCATAGTTCTGGATGAGAACCCCTAAATTGGATATTCTTTTGGATTTAAAGATTGTTATTATAATATAAATATTATTATAATTTTTAGAAATTTCTTCTTAATATTTACTCCTTTTCCAATTGGTTTTCTGTCTTTCCAAAAAAAACCTTCGGAAAATCTTAGAAATCTGCAAATCTGCATATCAAATACTAGTGCTCCACAGCGCTAGATGAGACCCCTCTGAAAACAGTTACCCAACACGTTTCCAGAATCTTCGCAAGCAGCTTTTTATGTCACATCACGACTTCTTGCCATTTGGGTTCTATAGCAGCTAGAGGAGGGTTGTTGTGGGTGGAGGGGGCAGGGCCTGGCTTCGCTTTATAGCTGCTCAATAATTCATTAGACATTTGACACCTTTGGAGCGTGGACGGCACCGACTGAACTGACAACACTTTCAGATTCTGTTGACACTTTGGATTTAACTTCAAGAAATGCAGACGCACACACACACACACACACACGCACGCTGTGGCACAACAAATGGCCTCATCAAGACGTTCAACGTGTCGCAAATGCGTTGCCGTTGAGTGGCCTGACACGGGGGTGTCCACCACCCCCCACCCCCCCCCCCAGCAGCAGCAGCAGCTCTGGAAGCACCTAAACCCGGTCTAGACGCTTTTGACACAAATGCGGCGGGTGTTAAGAAAAAAGTCCACAAATGTCTCCTCTTCATCTGTCTGCCATTTAAGCAGCATAAACAAAACCAGTCATAGTCCGATATGGAGACTAAGGCGATACCTGATGGGCAGGCTGGGGGCAGACGTGGCAGTAGATCACACAGATCTGGCCTGGATCCCTGGCAAACCTTTCCTTTTCCAAACACCCACGCCAGCCCATATACCCCTCTGCTCTCGCACGTCTACAGGGTATGCCGAAGAGAGAAAGAAGCAGATTGCTAAGCTGCGTAGATTTCCGCGTGGTGTCCTCTGTCTCAGTCGCTGAGGCCCACCCTCTTTCACACCTGTGCCGTGTTCCCTCTGGCTGTCTGCAGTCGACGTCAGCGTCGGCGTCGGCGTTGGAGGTGCGTGTGTCTAGCATTGTCTGCGGGCGGGCTGTGTGTGTGTGTGTGACGCGGCATGTGGGCTGGGGTGTGGAGTGTGGCGAGGTCTCTGGGAGTACTTGAGACAGCCATGAGAGTGCATATTGAGACAGGTGACAACAGTCGCACTTCATTCGTCTGCTTCTTCTTATTCTTGCAACCTGCAGTTCCCCTACTTCTTTGCCAGCTGCTGCTGCTCTGCTGCTTTGCTGCAACATTTTGTTGCCGTCGTTGTTTGGTGGTAATTGCTGTTGTAGTTGCTGCCGCAGACGCACTAAATCAATTAGAATGCAACCCACGTGAAGCATTTGCAATGGAAATTTCTAAGCATACGGAAAAATTGTTCCACTTCTACTTCTACTTCTAGTTTTATTTTATGATAATTTGCCTGCCTTCTGTGGGGTGGGGGGGGGGGGCACAGCCTTACAACTCTATTCACACTGAAATCTTCAGTGTTGAAGAGCATCTCGAGCATTTTTCCAAGAATTAAATGAGTTTCAACTCACTTAATGGTCGGAATGGAAAATCTAGTGTGGGAAACGCTTTCTGATACAATAAGACTTTGGAAATTACATTAATGGCTGTGGGAAATGGCATAAACTATATGCAGCCATGGAAAATAACACTATTTCATTGCATTTTTATTAATTCAGGGAATTTTCTAGGTGTTGTGGGTAATTATATTTCAAAAATGTGCTTAGAAGATTTTTATATTTTCTTCAAAAATTCAAGAAAATTATACGATTCCCTGAGGAAAAACCAAGGTCTTTGCAGGTTAAACGCCCACTGAAATGCCTCCATAAAGACTTGGAGAAAGTATTAACCAGCCATCTTTTGTGCATCGATGAAGGAATTCTGAGGCATATTCTGAGAGGTTCCCCCCATATTGTTTTCTCCCGAATTCCATTTACAATTCTTCTTTGATGTTTGCCTCGATCGCGGGACAACCACTTGAAGAATTTTTTGCGGAATGCCATTCTTAAATTTGTTTTTGATTTCGTTTTGGGGCGATGCACCCCGAAATGGAAATTATTTCTGCGGGTCGTTGAACCCCGTCTCTCTCCCTCTCTCTCTTTGTATTTGGATATGCAACACCCAACACCTTTGTCGAAAAAAAAAAACAGAAAAAAAAGTGTTCAGTCAGTCGTCGGTTCGTCTGTCCGCCTGGTGGAAGGTGCGATAAATGCGGACAGACGTAACGAGCGAAAGGGCCAAAAAAGAAACCCATTAAAGTAAAGCTGCATTAACAGCTAAATGAAAACACCCCACAACAACAACAACAACAACAAGAACAACAAAGCGCAGGCATCAAATTTCGCCACACAGACAGTCGAAGCGTGGGTCAAAAAGATAGACAGAGGCAAAGATACGAGAGCGGCGGAGGAGGGCATGGAGGGCATACCAAATCGAACGATTAAGACACGCTTACGTTTTAATTTTGTTGTTGCTTGGAATACCCTGTAGATTGGCATTTATGAGACCTCAAAAGGCAGGCAGATCGTGCCTTGGGAGTAGAGGTGTCAACAGAGGAGTGAAAGACGATCTATTGAAGATCCATTTTGTATGAATTTTTTGTTTCGAAGACTTGAACATTCCCTGAGAAAGTTTGTTCTTTGGAATTTGGACCTAGAAAACCCAAAGGGGCTTGGCTTATAGTTTGGAAGATCGTGCAGAACCTATTTTGTGGTCTTATCGCAGGAATTGGTTATAAAAAGGGAATAAAAGGTTTACATTTCACATTTTACATTTACAATCGGCACTAAAAAAGGCCCCAACACGTCAGCTACAGCTCTTAGGATAGATACTATGCTTTACTATAGATACTATGCTACCCCATATGCTACCAATTGATGAGTAACCCCTAGTCGCTCATCGTATAGCCCTTGGAGGAGTACCCCCTTTTGTTTGTTGTTGTTTTTGCCTGCAGTTTCGTTTCTGTTTTGCCTTCACTTTCTGTTTGTTATTTGCGGGGTTTCATTTAAGTGCCCGCTGCTGTGGCTGTGGCTGTTGCCGTCGCTGTTTGTTGCTGTTGTTGCACGAACAGTTCTTATTAACATTGCTTCGCTGTTATTGTAGCTGCCGTTAGTTTTCACTCTTATCTCTTATGCCATTCCCTTGTTATTCGTCCGAATGTGGGTGGTGTACCCGTTCCCCGTTCCCCCATGCCACATGCCTCTTTGGTTGTATCTTTTTGTGCCTTTTGTGCAAGTATTTCAATTATTTGTCAAATTGACACAATGGCGCAGTTATCTGATCAGTTGTTGGTGTGCATACACACATTGTTGTTGTTGAGTTTGTTGTTGATTTTGTTGTTGAAGCTGTTGTTGTAGATTTTTTTCTTTCTTTTTCTCTTGTTTGTTGGTTTTTTGTGGTGTCTATTGTTGCAGCTGTGGTTTTTTTTTCTTCCCCCGTAGCTGTTGTTGTTGTTGTTGAAATATTCAGTGTTGTTGTTGAGAAATAATTCCAATTTGATTTATGTTTTGCACTAGATTTCATGGCGATTATTTGTTTTAATGTTTGGGATTAATGTTCCAGGAAATCTAGAGCGGAAGACCCCGGGACTACGCTATTTGCTCTCTAAATATTTAGTCAAATATGCATTAGACGAGCATGTGTGGTCTTTCCCTTTGAACGAAGATGAAATGGTCAAAAGTTTTGGGCCGCGAAGTGGGGCAGACGAATATCAAAGCCTAAAAGGTGAACATATTCCCTGAAGTCTAGAAAAATCTAAGACCCATGGGGAATTCCAAGAAATTTCTCTAGATAACCTTGGCGGGGGCCTTATCGCAGCCGAGAGGAAAGATAACGTTTTTGGATTGGTAACCAAATGGGAGAAGAGCCCCCCCTCTCCTCCTCCTCCTCCTCCTTGTTCCCCCTATTAATTGCAGATAAACAATCTTTTGCAGATACAAAAAAACAAACTATAAGATACATTAAATATTAACCACAAGCTGGCAACAAAGTTGCAGCGAAAATGTTGATAAAATACTAAAAACGGGACAACAATCAAAAGCGAATATCGAGACAATGGTGCGACTGAATGTTGCAGAGCAACACAGCAGCAACAACAGCAACAGCAACACGAGCAACATCCAGAACAACAACAACAGCAATGCGGGTGGCAGCTGCTCCTCGACCACATCATCGACAACGAGCCTGAACAGCAACTCGGCCTCGCCAGCGTGCAACATGGTGATGTTGCAGGCCCCACCGCCAGCTGCAGTGGTAGTGGCAGCGGCAGCAGCACCACCACCACCAGGACCACATCCACACTTGCAACAAATAGTGGCGACTACCACCCAACCGCCGCCACAGCAGCAGCAGCAGCAGCATCAACCGCAACAGCAGCAGCAACAGCAGCAACATTCACCTTCGGACGGCGGTTCCTCGAACTGTTCGCTGCCGTCATCGCCGCCATTGTTGCAGCAGACCGCAACGCCGCCGCAGGGGGCACAGATTGTGCCGCCCGTCTGTGCGCTGCACCACCCACAGCAGCAACTGGCGCTGATGGCCGCCATGCAGCATCACCAGCACATGCTGCAGCAGCCGCCACCGCCGCCGCCGCACGCTCTCCACCATGCACCGCCGCCGCATCCCCCCAGCACACAGCAGCAGCCCCACCAGCCGCCACCGCAGCCGCACGAGAATGGCCATGGCGGAGGCGTCTCCCCCAACGGCGGAGGCGGGTCGTCGGCGAGCAGCGTGAGCAGCATCTCCAGCGGCAGTGGCGGGAGTCAGGGCAACGGCTCCATCAACGGCACCAACGGCATTGGGCCGCCGAATGTGGCACCACCGCCGCCGGCACAGCTGCCGCCGGGGCAGCTGTACATCCCGTATCCGAGCGAGTTCTATCCGGAGTACTACATCGCCCCGCACCCGCACGAGGGCATCTGTCCGCAGCATCCGCATCATCCGCATCCGCATCCGCATGCGCACCACCACCAGCCCATGTGCGCCATGTCAGCGGAATACGGTGAGTCCTCAGACAGGGTGCCTCCTTGGCCCCACAATCACCAGACTCCTTCGCGAGGCAGCCAGCTAATTACAGCTCAACTAATCCCCTCCCTAAGTGTCTCAATTCGTCAAAAGATACTTTGCTAAGCCTTTCCACATTCCCCTCTCCCCGTTCCCCCCACGATGACGATGATGCAGTCTCGCAAGCTCTTAAGCTGCCAAAAACTTGGCAAGAAGCAAACAAAAATGGTAAGACCGAACCTAAAAATAGACGAAAGCCACAGCGCCCCACCGCCCCACCACCAGCCACCCAGCCAGCAGCGGCCTTCGTCTACCCTGCAGTAAGTTGTATACATTTGGCATTTAAAGCTTTTGCCAGACGAAACCTCAGCCGCCCAGCCGCCCAGCCACCCAGCCGCCCCCCCACTGTAACCCACAAAGTCAACAAGTAAACTTTGCATTTGATTTATCTCTCCGGAGTACCCGGAGTACCCCCCCCCACGCCCAACCCACTCCCCGACCGCCCGCCCTCGAAAGCCAGTCATTTAATATCATCAAGCAACAAATTAGCTTGAAATCGCTCGTTTATTTATTTATTTTTTGCACTCTATCCGGTAGTACGATGAGTACCCGTACTCGTACCCGTACTCGCACCCGTACTCGCACTCGCACTCGCACTCGAGTATTAGTTGTTGATATGCCATCCAGTTCTAGTTCCCGCTGGTACGCCCATCTCATGAGATTTGCCTATGAGCGGGCCAGAGGAATGGAAAAAAATAACATTACAGGGTGTCGTATGTTTCCCCTATTTCGAAGACAGATTTCCAAGAAATTTTCTGCCTCAGAGGTTACGTTTTAATCAACAGACAAAAGTCACAGGCTATCAGGGGGGTTTTCCGTTGTATTTGGAGTAAATCTAGCCCTTGGGAAAGCGCAACCAGTTCCGCGAATGCGTCGAGAATATTTCATGGGAATTGAGCTATCAATAAATCTGATATTTGTAATTGGAACCGATTCCAAACACCCTGTATTCCAAAAAGCATTTCGCCCACTCGAATCTGGGCCTTGGCCAAGCCCAGAAACCACTAGCCATTCGGTCAAGACTGGCCGAGAGACAGCCGCAGACCAGAAATGTGTCACTCATTTGCCAGATCATCGGGGATGGGGGAGGAGAGGGTATTGGCAAAATATATAATCGAATTTGATCAAGTTTGGCGCAACCCAGAAACCCCAATAGCCAGCATTTTCAATTTATCAATGTCATTAACCTTAATTGTGATTCGGGGGAGGGGGAGGAGCCGCCAACAAAGGCCCTCCATTGATTGAGAAGCGAACTTTTGAAATATGAGATGCTGAGAGAGAGAAAACTTCTGAACTTCTTGTCTCTTTGGCGGGATAACCACTAATTTACACTAAAATGCAGACGATACGAGTGCGAGTGTGTGTGTGCGAGTGTGTGTGTGTGTGTGTGTGTGTGTGTGTGCTAATTGAATTTGCCTGTGCGCCCCCTTGTGCCCCCTTGTGCCCCCTTGTGGGGCGACTCCTGTCAACTAGTTGGATGTCATCATCGGGGGAGCACTATGTACATCCACCGCCAGCTTGAACATAATTTACAATTACGGGGAAGTGTAAATGGCTTTTCTACCTCGACATCAGGTCACACTTTCCCCCCACCGCCCCCCTCCCCGGTCCTAGAGCCAGCCTGGCAGGTCGTCTCCCGCTTCCTTTGCTCATTTGGCAAATGCTCAGCCCCAGCCCGACGCTGGTCTGGTTTGCCCTGATTGTTGTTAATCGAATAAACTTGCCCAGGAAATGGGCCCTGAGTGCGTGCTGGGCCTTGGTCTTGGTCTGGGTCTTGGTCTGGGTCTGGGTCTGGGTCCTGGGACAGAGCGATGGCATGGCTGCTGGCGCTGGTCTAATGGAATTTGCGCCCGGGTCGACATCAACTTTAGTATATTGATATGGATGCTGAGCATGTTATAATTATAAGAATGCTGAGCATGCTCTTCCCCCACTCCCCCTTTGGGTTGTGCAAAAAGTGTAGAGGGTGGTGTTGATTGCTGGAGAGCCGGCGAGCGAGTCAGTCCCTAATCAACATAATTCCTATTATTTTATCTGTACGTTCATTCGGTCAGCAGCACAAATGAGCAGAAAAGAGGAAGAATATATAAAAATTGAAATGAATGGAAATGAAAAAGGCCGATAAGCGGGGCACGTGGCTGAAGGCCGCTCTTAAAGGAAGTCAAGTCTGGGTTATATTTCGGAAGATCGGCCAGCAAAGCGAAAGGAAGTGGCTGAATATTAAAGAATGTATTAAAGACTGTGGCAGAGGCAGTGGAACAGATTTTTTGTGAAGTCTTTTCAAAGAGATTTCAAGTAGATCTCTTTGATATACGAATACTTTCGCTTATTTATATTTGTATTCAATCAAAGTTAATCCCTGATTGAACGATCTGTTTCCGCCATTGTATTCCCTCAATGGCTGGCCCCATTGAAATGTCTTGACACCTTTCGTTGACATCCCTGCCCAAGGCCCTGTGCACAACTGTACCACTTTCAATTGAAAGCCTTACAAATTGAGTTGCAATCGAATGTATTTGTGTGTGTACGTAAGTGGGTGCCCACCCCCTCCCTTCTGGCAGGGCTTGAGGGGCTCCTCCTCCTCCTGCCACTCAGTGCGCATCTTCTTCAGCTTGGAGCACGTTTGAGTTCAAGAACTGATTTTGCCAATAAATATAGGGAGGGAGAGGGTGAATATTTTATAGGAAAGTGTGCCTCCATTATGGCACGCATAAATAAGGCCTGGATGTCAATGAACCCCAGAGTGAAGAGGGGGAAACTCCAGGCAGTGAGGGAGTGGGTAGTGGGGGGAAACAGAGCCAATCTAAGCGTTACATCAACACTTTCCCATAGATCGTAATCAATGAAAGGAGGAAGGGAGGGAGGAAGGAAGGAAGGATGCTGAAGGGAGGGAGGAAGGAAGGAAGGATGCTGAAGGAAGGGCGGGAGTGCACACATCCCACCCCCTCTTTGGCCTCCTCCTCTTCACATTTCGGTTAATCTCTTTGGTAATAATTTTTAATTAACCCAAAGCCCGCACATTGAACGCCCTCAACTTATTAAGACTTATTACGGCCTGGAAGGGGGGAGGGGGCGAGAGGTTATGGGGGATCTGAACTTTGCACTTTTGAACTGCCAGCCAGCAAATGCCCAACAGATGTCCAAAGGCAGACGCCCAAGAAGCTGGAACAATTTTACGAGCACTCGAATAAAATTCGTTTCGTTTCGTTTCGGTTTTTTGTTTTGTTTGTTTTGTTTTCTTTAATTGAGCGGAAGCTAGTACTGTAGAACAGTCACTGCCAAAAGTTGTTTGACCCGGCCATAAAAAAAGAAAGCAGAAAACAATATGTGAATGTCCTCTCGGGAAAGTAATTCGAGAGCGTGCCCAAGAGGCACCTGCTAGAGAAGGAGAAGGGCCCCAACAGAAACTGTGTCACAAAGTAATACAAATCAAAGAATCGGGGGGAGTGGGAGTGGCAGGGGGGGCGGGGGCACTCCAACAAAAGGGCCAGAGTCAACATGGAGTCGGCCCTGATGGAGAACCACAAATGATTGTTACTTATTATTCGCACATAAAACGTTTTTCCTCTGCCCAGCCAAGGGCCCCGCACAATTGTTCAGTGAGGCATAAGCAAACATTTCCATTCCATTCCAGGCCAGGCCAGGCCAGGACATTGTCAGAGTTCCGTCTCGAAGGTCCTGGCTTCTACTTCCACGCTCTGATGTCATATTACAAGCTCTTAGCCCCCGCCCCGTCCCCCCCTCGCTTCCTGCGGGTCGTAAAAAAAGAAAAGTGCATAAAATGGTATTTTCGCTGTGAATGTCAAACTGTAAGCAGTCAGTCGGGCGACAGGTAGGAAGTGGCAGCTGCTCCCCTCCCCTCCCCCCTCCACCATACCCTTTCCAGCATAAAGTTTTCCATTTTTACGAGCCGCTTTGGCGGCACAGATTTATTGGCTTCCTCGCTTTACTCGATTTTATTATTGTTGCTCGTCTCTCATTGCATTTGCATATTCAGTGGAGCACCCCCCTCCCCTCCCCGCCCCCTCACCCCCTCTAAGCCTCGTTGAGTTTTACGCCAAATTCGAAGGTTAGCCAAGTTCTTCTTTGTCCGCGTTGCGTTTCGTTTCTTTTTTATACATATATTTTTTCCGCTTTATAGTTTGCTCAAACTTGACTCGAGTTTCTGTCGACGGTTGAGTTTTATGCCTCACTTTGAAGTGGAGAACATTATGCCACGAATGGGTAGCATTTTTGTGGTTCCTTCATAGCCTTCGATGCTAATGACAGAGAGACGATGCTGTCAGAGCTCTAAATGACAAATTGCTCCAGCTCCTGCTCCTGCCCCTGGTTTGGGGGTTGGAGAGCTCTTCTCTGGGGATTGTGGGGGGGGGGGGGGGGGAAAGAACCGTGCGGCGGCATAAATTGTGGCAGCATATTTTGTGTGACTGACAGGGAGTGGTACATAAATATTTCCCCCCGCTTTAGTTTAGTTTTCCTTCTGACGAATGATGAACTCTGGCTGTCAGCGGCGGTGGCGGTCCATCGGACAATTGACTTTTGTTGACCCACATTTTTGAGCACTGAAGTTCCAGGAATATCGAAGAACCCTCCCTTTTTCGTTGTGTGCCGCCTCTTTGGGAAATGAATTTTCCCATCCAGTAGAACACATGGATTTTTGCACAGGAGACTTCAAGTTGCAGCTTGCAGTGGCAGCTCCTGGGGCACTATCAATGTCAGTTTATCATTCGCTTAATGGGGGGCTTACTCTGCCCCCACCAGCTACTTCCACTTCCGCTCGCCTGCATTTGGTTTCCTCATTTAATATAATTTGTTGCAAGTTTTGCGGCATGCGGCATGTGGCAGGCGTCTGTTACATGTGCCCAGCCTCTGTGCGATAGCTGCACTAATTGAAACGTAATTATATCATTTGGGCACGAGGCAGTCAGTCAGCGTCTC